AGGAACTTGCTACCAAAAGGAACAAAACAGGGGAAGCACAGTCTTAAAACTGCTCATCTGAGCTTACTATGAAATAACAAGTTACGTGTAGGTATGCTGGAGGTCAGGTCATGCTCAAGGACTCTATCTTTGATTCATAGTTGATCACCCGTCTGCACAAAGCTGTTGAGCATGACATTCAACTTCTATTCATAACGAATGAGGGAGCAATTAAATCCTCATCTGTGTAACAGATGCAACAATAAAAGCCACCACAGAAATCAGATGCCAAAGTCAGAAGAAGAGATGGAACTTGTATTCTAAAGGACTTTTCTTGACAGCTAAATGCAGGCAGGTACTGAGTATTGCTGGTGGAGATGAGAGAAATAGTGAGAGGCAGACAGGGAAAGGAGCTGGAAACAATGGAGGTAGTAAACAAAAATTCTGGTATAATGGGCTGTTAGAAAAAGCAAAGGGAGAGAGATTTTGGCATAGAGGCTTGGAATGGAGAACAAAAACTGCCCCGGTTCTGTAAATAAACAGGAGTGAAACAAAGAAACACCTGACTCTGATAACAGTATCTCCTCTTAATGGCAACGAATGCCAAATATTAGCTAACCACTCAGCTCCAAGTCTGGAAGAGTGCATCAGAACAGAATCCTAAAGGGATTTTCATTATCTATCTCATTCTCTTCCTAAAGAGAAGCTGTTGCTGCAGAGAGTGCCCAGGAGATGGCACTCTTGTATATAGCATAAAAGACATTTTAAAAACAGTTACACAGAGAATTTTGTTGCTGTGTACTCGTGATGATTACTGGCACTACTGGATTAACATGGAAAGCCATTCTGAAAGAGTTCTTTTCTGTGAGAGTTCTATTCAGACTAAGATGGAGATTTGCACCGTAACATGAGGTTTATTGGGCCTGCTGGACCATTATGCTCAGGAGAAAATAGGCTATTTTAAGAATATTGTATTAGCTGCTAATAGAATCTAACAGTAGAGAAGAATGAAAAAGCACATGCTAGCAGTTTTTGATGACACAAACAGCTTCTGAAAAGAGGAAAGAATTTTTTTTTTCCCCTCTATGTCAATAGTGAACATAATAGGCAGTAATATGTTTAAAGTGTGGCAAAAAAGATCTAGGATAGAAGACAGAAAACATTTTTCTAATTCAAGCATAGTGAATCATTAGACTAGATTGTTCAGGGAGACGACAGTATGTCCAGGACTGGTAGGTCCTTATAATTTTACCTATGACTTTTTATACATACAGCTAGGTAAGCACAGATATAGTTGACTCCGTCATAGAATAAGGGACTGAAGTAAATTAACATCTGGAGATTGCTCGTTATTTCTATAATTATATCTGGAAAAGCAGTTAAAATTAAAATAGGATTTTGAAAAGTAAAAAGCATTCAGAAGTAATAAACTATAGCTCTGACCATATGAACCAGAGAAAGTTCAAATGTGTGGTAGAACTCAAATGACATTCTGGGATGTGGAGCAAGTAGAATTGCAACCTCTTCATCTTTAAAGATATTCTGTGAATTTCCTGCCACAGAGACCACTAAGAATCTGTTAGATATTTAGTAGCAGAGTACCTATTCATGAGATGAAAGTATTACTGAGGGAAACTACCTAACAAAGCACAGTTAAACCAGTCGAATAAACAAAAGACAGTAGGTATTAAAAAAAATCCCACCTCTAAAACATACATTTTTTTGGACATGTTAAGAAGACAATGTACACTCCCAAGTAGAAAATTAATTGTTACCATCCCTCCACTTTGGTTTAATCACAGCCCATCCTGCTCATCTGTGCAAACAAGCAACGAACACCAACAGTCAGAGAAAAAAGGAACATCAAGCAGAAGCTAGAGGAAACCTAGAACGATACCATTTCTTCAGCTTTATTGATGAAAGGAAGCTTGCCACACAAATGATAAAGAAACAGCTTTACTTATTGCCTTGTTATAATTCAATAGATCATGAAAAGACATTTCAACTTAAGCTTTTAAGAGTTTCTCCTGTCACTCATCACAAATAGAACAATTGGTCCTTATGTTCTTGAAGATGACAGATGCTCTAAATTTGATAAACAAAGACATCAGGATTTTATTGGGAATTTACCTTTCTTCATATTTATATCCCAGCTCTCTGAATGTCCTCTTGTGGAAATTAAATTACTTTTTGATTGTATTACTTTCATTGGTATTTGGTTGTTTACTCACTTTAATCTATTTATAGACTGTTCACATCGTCTAAGACATACCACTCAAGATTCACTTATACTGAAGGCAAGTCCTTCTGTTCATTTTGCAAGCTCTTTCAGCTGTCTGTCGCACATTAAGAAGCACGCTCTACCAAGTTGCAGAACGTTTGATTTTGGCCTTAGTTTATAAAGAGAGGAGCGCTTTCCCCAGATGGGGGCGCACGCTTAAAGGAAAAATCCCTGTCAGAAACTTCCCACAAACTGAGATGTCAAACAGATTTAAATGAAGTTGAAGTTGTCTGCTGCTTTCAGTTTGTGTCCTGTTTCCTTTTTTTAAAAAAACAAAACAAAACAAAAAAAACCACACACACAAAACCCAACTTTCCTGAATAATAGGAGCACAGATAACAACAGAGTATTTTGCTAGTCTTCAGTCTTGCTGTCCGCTAAGGAATGCTGAAGTCTATGCCTCGCCAAATGGACATCAAAACTAAAAGCAGGGAATTGTAACTACAAAGGTACTCAATAACGCCAAGCTGCCAAGAAGCAGAGTAAATAATCTCGCATGGTGCTTCGTGCTACAGTGTTTAGACTGCTAGCACTATCGGAGTTAGCTCAGGTAGCTCTGCAGTGTCACCATATAGTTGCAACTGCCCTCATCTCTGAGTCCACACATAAACACAGATTATTTGTTTCTTCACATTAGTTCAGCAATACTGGCAAATGTTTTAGGCTGACATCCTGCATCTACAGTCAAGTTTTACTCTTTGCCCATAGGTGTACAATATGAACATCTGCTCCAGAAACCTGTTCTACCTCTGCATCTTAACCTTGCAGAGAAGCGTGCAGAACAAAGAATCAAGTGCTTCATACATGTTAGTGCCTTCATATGTTCTGCATGGGCATCCTGGCAAATAACAGCTTTACCTGCTTATACTAACAAAAAAGAAAAACAGCCATATTAAGTGGAAGTGGAAAGACAAACTAGTAACAGTAGCACTATTTTTCACTGCATTCCCCTGCAATCCTGGTAATGCTCTCCTTACTACACAACAGTGCTTAAAGAGTGAAAAAAACCCATTATCCTGTTATATAAGACTCTGAATTTCCTTCGCATGTGTCATTTTCTGTGGCTAGGGCAAAATTATACTACTCAGTCAAGACAGTTAGGATTCCACTATACATAGGATCTCCGCTGACTCCCTGGGAGCACCATACCCTCCAGTGGATGAACTCCAGAGCTGGGCATGAGTAAATTTAGAACTTCTGCTTTATGTTAGAGCACAGACTGATGTCAGATTGGGACAAAACCGGATGTTTTATCAGTCCTGCATAGGTTAAAGAACTTGTATAATGTGTATAGATAGGTGCAGCAGATAGAGAGAAAAGGCATCTTCCTAGGCTCATTCCTGTTTCTGCCAGATAACTTGTTGATATTGATAAAAACACCATTTTAGCTTTGGCATCTCACCATAATTCTTGCCTACCTAAAAATTAAGATTTATTGCTTATTTGGAGCTGTGATCTAAAATTTGAGATTCTTTTCATCAGTTCCATGGTGCTTCAGCATGACATGACGAAAATATCAAGTGTCACTCATTATCTGACCTATTACCCTTTCAAATATAAAGTGAATATAAATAAGAAGAGAATCTGTCCCTGAATCATATCACATCCTTGTAAAGGCCGAGCGCTTCAGAAACGCTTATTTTTCTTCTCACCTTCCCCTCACGTAAAAATGTTGGTACTTTTTCCATTTTACAGATGAAAAACTGAAGCATAAAGATTAAGTCAGAAGCAGCCCTTCATTTAGGATGCCTAACTTGAAATGGCTAGGATCTGACTTTTTAGGTTACAAACTTCACATCCACTGTGCAGGCAACTGCTGTTTGAGTGAACGAGCTAACTGGTAGCAACAGATGGCATTAGAGCCGTACAGGAAAAGATTTCACAGCGTTTCACAGAAAGGTCCTCTCTTTGACCAAGAGTTTGGATGCTTGGTCTGGTTTTGTTTTGGACTGGAAAGGAGTAATGACAATTTCTGTCAATCTTAGACTATAAGCAGGGTTTGTTTTGCCAAAATATTATAAGGAAATGGGGGTGGGTAATAAAAGGAGATTGGATAGTATGTCTTCATTTTTACTGCATATTTAAATACAACTACTCCCAATCTCTGAACTTTACATCAGACAAGAACAAGTTGTAATGAGTGCACCTCTTCAAAAATTTTATGAACAACTACATTTTTTTTAATAACCTAATCATTTATCTTACATTTGACTCATATCCAAGTTGTCAGTCAGTAGTTCTTCTGAAACACCTGTTGTTTTTTCAGTAATTTCTGTACCAGAGTGGGAGTCAGGGAAAACGATGCTACAGACAACTCCCTTAGTAAGAATAAGCAAATAAAATGCTTTCTTTTTTGCATAACATAAACAGGCCAGTTCAGCTTGTGCATACATACTATATGCTTTAAAAAGTACCTGACCCAAATTTCTCTAGAAAACTATTTCATTTAAAGAGTTACTTTCAATATGTTAAATTTCCCATAGTCAAGACTAAACTGAATATTTGCAACTTCTTGATCTAGTGTATAATTTTCTCAGTAAGACTTATGGGAAAATATGAAACTTTTAAAAATAAAGTAATTACTCTTATATACAGTGAAAAAAGATGTTCTTCTCATTTTCAAATACCTAATTTGTTCTACACATGATGACATTTCTCTTTCCAAACACTTACAGAAATAATCTTGAGATAATAGAATGCTTTGAAAATAATGCATACATACTTATAAGCATAAGCATACCTTGTTTAGCTTTATAAAATATTCCAGTCCAGCTTCCAAAGGATTAGTGTCACAGTTCATCTATTAAAAAAAAAAAAATCCATGCATGAGGGATTGTCACAGCTTTTGTTTCTTTTCATTCTGTGCATCCTTCTACTTATTCCTGGGTCAACATCTTCTACGTCGCACTCGTGCAACTTCCATTTGAATGCACTGTGAGCGTGTGCCTATAAGTGATTTTCATCAGAGTACCTACTATTATCCTTAATATGAGGTGTAAATATATAAATCATGCATCTGAGTTTCAGCGTGCAAAATAAATACACATTTCAGGCAGAAACCAGATTTTTGGTCAAAGCAGAATCAAGCCCGCAGAAGCTCAAATAACGGAGGTACACACATTAATTGCAACACAACAGAATGCCTTAGCTGATGAGGACAATAAAAATACAATGTCAATTATATTTACCACCTGCCCTTACCACCACCTTCACGGTAGGGGGAGTGATTTGTCAGGCAGCATTTGGAGCTGGACTGAAAATAATTATCAGTGGGCAAAGGGAAAGGATCCGTAAATGCCGGGTATTTCAACTTTCTGAGTTCTTTCCTTTCCAAAGGAGTCAGGAAAAAATTCAGGTAAGCAGAAATTATCCTGATTTTCCATAAGTTCTTCAGGCCACTTGAGCAGTTCCTTATTGTGAGTGAGCAAATTTGGCAGACACAATTTAATGGGAAATGAAAAAGTTCAAAATACATCATGAAGCAAGAATAATTGGCCTCTCATGACATAGTTATTACAGAAATAAAATATCTGCACAACCTATCAGCCAAACCTTTGATTTCAAAACGCTGGAACTCAGCAAAACCCTCATAATTTTGTTATATTCAAGAGGAAAAAACATCAGTGAATCAAAATAAATGTCTCTGCCAGAAATGCAATCAAGTATATTAGTTATTTTATCTAGAAAAGACACTGTTTCTGGTTATAGTAATTTTCCCTGCTCAAAGTAAATTTTCTTTTCATGCCAGAACTGGAACAAATAATATCTGTGTCAGCTCTGACTAAAAGCTGTATAGTCATAATGAAATAAAGAAAATAGAAAGAATTACAAAAATATTATATTTGCTGACCTCTGCCCCCCAGGCTCGGAAACCCTTTTCCAACCTTAAAGCATTCAGAGCGTATGTTCCAAAGTTGTCGATTTGCTCTTTTTGGCCAGCTTCCATGATAGCACTGTAAAGAGCTACAGAATCTTCTTTTTTGTGATAGAGCTCCCAGCCCAGTTCACCTGTTATACAAACAAGATTAATAGATTAATCAACTCAAGAATGAAATAATCCTAATAAACGTAGTTCTATCGTTGGTACAAAGTAAGGATGAATGCTACAAATACTAATACGCATTCTGGGCTCAGTTGTGCTGTCATATAGAAAGCCAGATTACCTGCAAGAACCACTAAAGGATTTATGTGATAGATCTTAAATGGTGTACTATTATTCTGATTTTAACTATTAACTGAAGTCAAGGGAAAAATCAAGAATAACTGAAAAGAAAAGGACATGCAATAAAGTCACAGTGAGAGATTAAGCTTAAGGGCATTACAAACAGATGATGAATTGGCAAGAGAAGAGCAAATGTAAATGACTGTGTAAATAAGGATAAAGGCAGTATATTATCATATTCAGTATGATGGAAAGGAAATACGAATTACAACTTCAGCTCCTCCAGACTGCTCTGAACTTTAGTCCACTGCAGTAGAGATGAACATTAAAAGAAATAAAAATAAAAAGTAACCGAGGAAAACAAATGCTTAGCACTTCAGTGTTACGTTTTCAAGGCACTTGACAAACACTAATATTTGGTAATCCAAAAACAATTCTTGACGTTGGTTTTGCAGCAAATACCACAGAGGTTATCAGAACTGGCCTTTTGTTCTGTAAAATAAATATTTACATGGAGGAGTATTCTAGACAAAATGGTCCTGGAAAACACAGTGCAGACTCTGGCCAGATCACATTTGAAAATCAGTGTACTGTGTTTCCTCACACATTATTTTATATATATTTATATATATATATTTTATTATATATATATAATGTGGTGAACCTATTGCTTATGAGCACATAGTGAGATTTGTTTCTCAATGCTGTTTTAGTTACACTTATTACTTTATTTATTTACTATTTACCTTAAGAGTATGTTTTCTCTAAGGCTTACCTGTGTAGGATATCCTAACAGCAGTAACAGCAATATCACAAAGTTTCAAATGTCTGGACTGGAGGAACTTAAATGAACTGTCACTCAGATCCTCAGTTGTCAACTTCTGGAGGACATGCCGTGCGTATGGACCTGCTACACCAAGTACTCCCATTTCATCTGTCATGTTTTCTATATCAACTTTGTATCCACCTCTGACCACCTCTTCTTCTATCCATCTGCATGTAAAAGACAACAGTGAGGTTAACATTTCCATAAATAGTATAACTGATTTAGATAAACATTAGAAAAGAAGATTTTTTTGTTAGTATTAATCTTCCCAGCAGGTCCCAGTCCCTTCTCAAAACCAATGGAAGCATATGTGCTACATTAGTCAGTCACATCCGTTGTTGGTGTAAAACAGTGTTTTCTGCTGAGATAATTGGTACAGAAACACAGGCATCTGGGATACAGCAAGGAAAGGGAAGAATTTAAATGGGTGGAACAGTACTTTCAAGATAAGGGGAAGAAATGATATCAGAGGACCTGACACAGATTTGCCTTTGGATCCACTAATAAAAAGTCAGCGAATGAAGAGAGTAAGCAATAAACATGATGATCATAAGAAATCTCAACATAAATTCTTCTGTTAACATAAATGTACAACTGGACTTACTGTTCCTGATACAGTATTTAAAGTGCTGGCAGGAAGTTTAGTTTTGGGTCTCGGTTTGATCAAAAACATCAGCTGAGTATTGTCTTTCAGGAAGCTCTCAAAATAAATGAAAGGAGTATATTTAAAATCTTACAAAATGCAGTGTTAAAAGAACTCAGGCACAGGGCAGAACCAAATGGGGCTGCTGAAATTCTTGGGAAGTAAATGCATTCAGCCTGGTTCTGCCTTTTTTACTTGTATTTAATGCTTTAACGTGTCAATGGTCCTACTGATTCCCATGGGACTACTTATAAAACAATACATTATTCACCACGTATTGGGGGTAGCAAATTTCAGTCTTTTATGTTTTGATTCATTTTAAGGACTGATCTGTCAGCGAATTGCAGATTTTCTTCTCCAGTAAGAAATACGCTTTTTTAGTATGTGTGTGCAGTCACTAATAGCACCAGAAGTTTCACTTACAATGCACATCTTATGAAAAGCATTTTAATGCAATCATCTTGTAAGTGTTTCCATCTCCTTTCTTTCTTTCATTTCAGTTTGTGATTCCAGAGCCCAAAAGCCCAGAAAGCATTATCACAGTATCAGGAAGACTGCACTACCCATCTGTATTGGCTAAGTCAGTGCCTCTGAGGTTACTGATGTTTAATGCCAATTTTCTTTTTTGTGTAAGAGAAAACACTGGAAAGGAACAACCCTACTGTGTTCCACCTCACAATGCCAAACACAAACAGGTCCAACAATAAAACAAGAACCACTTATACTAAAGTAGATTACATAACTATCAGTAAATTGCCCATCTTCTTACACAAAGAGCATTCTGATATGCAACTGCTTATACTTCAGGATTCACTTCAACTAAATTTATAAGAAATCAAGATCAATCAATACGTAGAATTCTCTTGAACTCAGTGAAATTTCTCTGAGAAATAATTAAGAATTTGGCCCCTAGTCAAAATGTTTCTATGTTACTGTGACTGTATAGTATTGTGTACTTACTGTATCAAAATTAAACTTACCGCAGATCATGGAGTTCTGACCCAGAGCCAGTCACAAGCATAAATTCTCCGGGATACAACTGAGAGACTGTTAGCTCAGCATAAACTTTTCCTCTTGGTGTTAACATATGACTTATATTTGTAGAACCCACCTATAGAGTACAACTTATAATTATCACAGATGCAAAATAAAACATTTTAATTCTTAAATCTTTGAAAATACACGGAAATATTACTTTGTACTAAAGCTTTCAACTATTTTACTTTACTTAAAAGAATAACTTTTTCTATATTTGTTCTGCTATGCCAGAATAGGAGAGGACAGATACACAATTGGCTGGGCTTAAACTTTACAGCGGAAATTTCACTTTTTCTTCATAGAAAAGATTATATTTTTGAAATTAAATGAATCAGGGCCTCTATAAGTATTTGTTAAGTATATATTATACAAGGCTTTCTTAAGCCACAGTGGATTGAAGAATGCATTTTCAACGTGAACAAATCCAATCACTTTTAGTTTGATGACCATCAGAATAAAAAATTCTGCTTCTGTTATTGACATAAATATTCTTTTTGAATCATGCGAATAAAGCTCTCAGATCTCAAAGGGATAACATAATTTGCCCCATATAAAAACCCATTACTTTAAAGAAAGAAATATTGAACTGCCTGATGATTTTGTGGCCCTGTGTAGTGGCTAACTACGAATCTCCATCTATGTGTATCTAAGTCAGGTTTCTGTGTAGAAATGTGAGCTCTTGAGGTAAAATTTCCAGCAACAGCTACTAAGCTGTGCCCATAAAACGTATGCACGTTCATCATCCATACAAAGAGAAGTGTGAATGTGCCATAGTTGTTGTGCTTGTCTGGTTCCAGAAGCAGAATTTAACCTCTTCTGTTTCATCCTGCTTTCATGAGAAACTTGTCAATCACTCAGTCGGTGCCCAGATTGCGGACAATGAATGGGAAAAGTAAAAAATACTGCAGATATTAGAATTCTTTTGCAAGGTCATATTACATTAATATAGTTACATTACAGGTACATAGTTAAATCATCAGGATCTGATGCTAGTCACACCAAACTTGGTTGTGATATAAGCGTACCTTCATCAAATTATTTTACAATGCAGACAAGCATTAAAGGTACCAAAATTAGACTGTGTGTGCTTAAATAATCAACTGTTGTGAATGCTGGATTTTCTAAAGCGGACTCATAAACTGTTTGTTCTGTTTTACTGTTTGTCTTTTTTCTTCCCCTTGGCAACACTGATTAAATTTCATAAAAAACTCTAGCTTTTTCTAATAATTTCCTGTTTAATGTTGTTTTCCCCACCACCACATACACATATATAGCAAGTGTTATCCACGTCACCAACTGACATAGTTACCCCCACTCTATCCCAGGCTACAGAGAAGACAAGCAGGGAATTTTTATCTACTGTGCCATCACAAAATTAATATAAGTTAAGAAAAAAAAAAAGAGTAAACACAACAATTTAGGTTGATCTTTATCCTAAGCCTACTGGACACCACTCTTGTGTACAGCAGTCCCATTAATTTGGGTCTGACCTCTGAGCGGATGTGCCTACCTTCATGACTATAGCCTCCATCTACTTGCTATGCTTCCTTCCTCTAGTGTCTGAAGCACCTAAAACCATCACCTACACCAAAAACTTAGTGAAATTCTGTGCTGAAACAAGCAAACCACATGGCTATAGCACTAAAGAAATGAATAATCCGCTGACTGGAGGTGCATCTCTGAAGTTACAGACACCAGATGAGAGTGGTTGACAAAGCAGGAAGATAAAGGGACACACAGAGCACTACCATGAAATAAGGGCCAAGAATCAGAAACTTGGTGTAGTTAGTCACAGTGTGCCTTTTTTGCAGAGTCACATTCGTGGAAAAAGGATAGCTGTGAGTTTGAAAGCTGAGCAGCCTGAATATTTGCAATCCAGCCTGCTCCAGGCAGCAAGCCGTGAAACAGGGCTGGTATGAAAGCCACGGAAAATAAGCATGGGTCACATGTAGGAAAACTGTTCCCTTGTGCACCCACGATCATCTTGCTATAGTCAGGCAAGAGCACATTCCACTGGTCTCCTCTGCCGCTTGAAGCTGCCCGAAGCTGCCACCGCATGGCATAGTCTGACAGGCAGCTCCCAAACTCTTCTACTGCCATTGTGAAAAAATTCCAGGTGAGATTCCCTTGGCCTTCTTTCGATAACAGATTTCTGCCAAGGGACATTTCTGCTTGGAGCTCCTCTAATATAAACTCTACTGTTCATGCTCTTAATTAAGTAAAATGAATCTCCTGACACAGGAATTTCTCCAAGGGACCTGAGTGCTTGGCATCTGAAAGACATTGTAACAATATTATGCCTCATTTTCCATTTCTGAAAAAATTTCTTAATTGTCTAAATCCTATATTTAAATTGTTATTACTGTCCCATTTACCTTTGGAATAACATTTGCAAACAGATGATCCACCAGTTTAACAGAATCAGTGCCTTTTACTTTAAACTTGCCAAATGGTGACAGGTCAATCACACCGACTTTCTCCATAACCTGCTTATACTCACGACCCACAGGGTCAAACCAGTTTGTGCGCCGAAAACTGGGCCTGAAAGAGAGCGTTGATACACATAAAACATAATTTGGCCATTTTATTCTCTTTTCAGCAAAATGTAGTCTTCAGATTCTTCAGTTTGAAAATCATTCAAAACAGATGGACTTTCCTAATTTTAGGTAGCTTAGCCAATATTTTCCTTAGTCTAACACAGATTAATTATTAAATCCTTTAACAACAGAGTAAGATATGGGTTGATGTTTTATCATTTATTTTGGAGAATAAACTATGAACTGTTCAAATGTTAGAAGAACTAGCAGTCTTTCATTATGCAATCATGGATAAATTTACAGCAGGCTTTGTTGCTGAACCATGTATTTGAGTTTAAGTGTCAACAAGTTTTACTTTCTGAACAACAGAGCGTGTCTCCTTTTTCGTTTGTGAGCCTCATTTAGCTTGGGACTCCAGCAGTCCTGCAGAAAACATAGGTATCTGCTGGACACTCTCTGATGCAAGCATGTGATTAGGTAGGCAGGCACAGAGAAAAAGTAAAGGAGGACTGGGTTCCTCCTTTCCTAAGGATTACTGAGACAGGAATAAGCTTTTCCATGAAAATATGTGCTGCTGATCAAGTAGGGAGCAAAGAAGAAAATACAAGTCTATAACGAATAAATTTTTTTCTAATCCCTTCTGTGAGCTAGGCTATTCCATGATACCTCACGTCCACAACAGTTACAAGATACCTCGATGCGTGTCTCAGAACGTCTACGCTATTAGAATGAAATGGGTTCTAAAATATGAAAAACAAATCTGCTTAAAAACGATAATGGAAGAGCTACCTAATAGATATACTTTAGCTGAAATGAATGATAAATGTATACTTCGCATTAAGTTCAATTCTGCTGGCCCTTGCTGCCATGGCAATTTACCAAGCAAAAAAAGACGCAATCTTTCATTTACTTGTATCCAGTCTCATCTCCAGGTTTGTAGAACCAATGAGGTTGTTCCCATCCTGCATGAAAGCCCATTGAACATTTTGACTTCAGTAAATCATAAAGCCCACTGACTCTTTCTGTTGGTCTTCCAGCAAATCTTTCTTCTTTAGGATAACCAACTAGAAAAATAAAAAGAAACATGGCATGCTGTACCTCACTAAGAGAGAACACATAATATGTATATACACACAAATGTCTAGAGCCAGCCCTTTCTGAAATCCACTTTCAGGATATAAATAAATTTTAAAAATGATTGTCTTACCAATGTTATTAAATCCGTAAGATTCTCTTGCTTTGGCCGCTGTATATTCTGTGGTAGCCCACTTTCCATAGCGATTTGGATCTAATTCTATCAAGTCAAATGGAGGCTCCCCCTCAAGGATCCAGTCACTGAGGTACTTTCCTATGCCTCCAGCATGTATAATGCCATACCTTAAAAATAGTAAAAGACCTGCAGTGCTGAGTCATTTTTATCAATACCAGCATTTATTACAAACACAGCTTCTAAAATATTTTGATTTTTTCTTTCCTCTTTTGTTTTTGTTCTGTTTTGTCTTGTCCTGTTTTCAAAGATTAACTGCTTCATCGACAGGTAGCTCTACTACCACACTTCCAGCAGCAAAACTCTATTGCCAATGTGTTGGCAATTCTGGTGCTTAAAGTTATAGGAAGCTCTTTCTTTCTCTGAAGTTCAGAATTTAATAATCCTTTCTCAAGTTCTCAAACTTCTGATTTCCAGAAAATACATTTTCTAGCAATAGAACACCTTTTCTTTTTTAATCCTGAGATTTGAAAAACAGACTGAGATATTCCAGCAGCTGCAGTGAATATTTGCATTACAGTGACAAGAGCAACAACAAAAAAGATCAGGAGACAGCCCTAGCAAGACAACTTTAAAGAATGGAAGCTCTCACACTTGAAACACCAGGAGTACTTTTTATACTGCTCCACAGAAAATAAGGAAAGGTGGAGGAACTAGGGAATAGAACTAGGAAGCTTTTCTGCAGTGGTGTCAGAATTAAGGGAGAGCTGCTTTTTCTCACCTGGATTACCTTCTCTGTCTTCCACTATAATCATGGACGGAACTGGTTCCATGACATTTATGCTAACAAAATATGCACGTAGAAATTCTCTGCTGGCAATCTGTAGCAAAAAACCTGTCCTGTTTCTACCTAACGAGTGTGTGAAGGATCAGACTGTAGAGGAGATTTCAGATTTAAGAAACCTGTATTAAAGGAACAATATCAGACAACAGAAGTAGGCATTCAAAAATTAGGAAATGAGAGATTTAAGGGTCCCTTAAACCTTTTTGTACATAAGGATCATAATTAGAACTTTCAAAATGCTTGCCATTTTGATTTCCATAGGGGGAAGGCTGTTTGTTAGACGTGCTCCAGCCGGGTCCCTGAACTGGACAACTGGGAGACAAGAAACTTTGGTGTGTTGCAATATGCGTATGTCACCACCCCGTCTAGATACGGCCAATCAGTACTGTGTAATGCTAAACGACAGGCATCTCAGATTGGACACCGAAACTGAATGGTTTAACGACAACTAATTGTTAATAATGAATGATGTGTAACTTGTGATTTTAATATCTCTGTGAATTAGTTAGTTTACCATGCCTAAAAAGGTGCCAAAATATTGCTCCATCTAGGGGGCATGTGAAAATAAATTCTTTGCTATTTGTGAAATGTTCCAATGAGTACCACAGAAAAATCCTTGATGAAATACTAATTCTGTCCTGAAATCAAGTTTAGATTAGAATGTAGTAATTAAATCACAGAGATTCACACTGAATAGTGAAGCTAAACCAAATTTGAATTGCTGCCATCAGCTCTGTGTTCTGAATTCTATGCCCTGAATTAAAGAGGCAAAGATCTCACAGAGAAAAAAAAAGGATGTAGTCATTTAATACTAATGCATATGCATAAGGAATTCAGATTACACAGGCAACTTAGTTCTGGGACTTCCTAACTTCAGAATGCTTGACTTCATAATCTTCATGAGATTACTTTGATATAGTAGCTTTTCATCTGCCATTTTTTAAAAGTAAAATGGAAAAAAAATAGTTAGACCCATGAGGTTATTCTGCCAAACACACTCCTGTTCAGCAGAAATCCTCAGATTCTCAGTACAAGGTTGTATCACCACAGCTGACACGCTAAGGACTACTGCTTGTAGCGTGCCCCCCTGTAAGTACTCCAGAAGAACTAGCAGCTGCTGGTGTTAATTAGGCAGTTCATGGGCACACAGTTCTGTGAGCACAGCTACAATGCTCCCAGGAACAGCTCCTGCTCCAGAAGCCAGCTTAAGCCTTCCCGCACTATTTGCTGAAGCCAAAAGCACTGGGGAACAGAGCACAGAGACCACTGCGTGACTGTGGTTGGCAACAGACCAGATAACAGCAATGCTTTTTAGCTTGGGCTGAAAACCGCTGAGCCAAAGGCTCAGGGTAACCCTGGGGCAAGACAGCCTGGGAGGCAGCCCTGAGGTGTGGAGTTGCCAGTGCGGGCACAGCACTGTATCTGGGCTGACTGGTGTCTGCAGAATGCAGAGCTTTTCAACTCTGACTCTGGGCAATGAGGTGATCCCGTTCGTTGCTCCCAGCGGGGCCTACATTATCAGAGATTTTCAGTTACCTGAGCTGCCCAGATCCCTCATCACCTCAGCTAATAGAGACCGGACTGTGGTTAATACCTCCACTGCAGTTCTGCTACACACGAGCAAAACATACGCTTTGCAGGGTTGGTATGTTATAAGTAGCTGTAAAGGGTAGTACAGCTCAGGAATCTCAGTCTTCATATGAAGATGTAGAGAAAATTGTGCTTTAGTGAACACAGACCGCCCTCTCTTTTTCTTCTCTCCTTCCAATCCCTGCCAGACTTGCTGCTTTCTGTGCTATCTTCCATACTGTCCCTGCCCTATTCTTGTCTCTTACTTGCATATGATCCCTTATTTCACACCTATTTCCCACTCTGCAGTTTCTCCTTCCACTCCTTTCTCCTCGGCAATCAGAATCCCCACACTCCCTGGTCTCTTTTCTAGTGTCTCTCTCCCAAGTTCAGCCATTTTCTATCTCCTTTCTGCAAGAAAAATCCTGTTCTGTTTCTGGCTGTAGAATACCCCTGTAAGACAGAATTCAGGAGTTTTAGTGCAAGATTTAGTGAGTCTCTATCAAGTATCTGTGAACTATAAGCTTTTTAAAGGCTTGTAAATTGGCCTCGTGGATAGATTTTGTGAAGAATAGCAAAAAGGCATATCCGTTGAAGAAAGGACACTTCTGCCAAATGTCAAGTTCCTTCTCAGAAAAATCTTAGCACTTTTCAAATGAAAGATTACACCCCAAAAAACTTAACACTGACAAAACAACATACTTTCCAATAATCTCATTCTGTGGAATGATTACACTGCTTTGACTTAAAATTTCCTGAAGAAAATTCTAGCCTACTCTGCTAACATTTTCAAAGCTATAGGCAACTGAAAACAATCTTAAATGGGAACATTGAGCAACCTTAATAGTAAACAGTGCTGCAAACCCTGCTAACGATACTTATTAACTACTTTGCACATTACACTGCCTAACTGCTGCTAATTTTAGATGATAAAAATCCTCTGAACTAACAGCACTAAGTCCTCTGTCACAATGTCCCTGCTAGTTGACTGTGAGATAAGGATTGCTAATGCACACAAAAAATTACAACACTGGTAGAAACACTGCAGTGACCCAGAAGCATGGAACAGAGAGTCAACAGTCCCTGAAAAGCAGACAGAACAATCCAATGACAGACTGTCTTCTCAGCAACCTAATTGTGACCTGTGTCTAAACTTTTAGAGATTATTCAAATTCCTGAAATAAGTTTTTTTAAGAAAATGAAATGCGTAATACTGATCTTCAGTTATTCCTAGATGGAACTTTGTTTTTTCTTCCTTCATTGGCCTCGATGGGAGAGCGGCCCCAAAGGCTGGCAGCATAATTAACAAACCAAATCAGTCTTTCTGCTGAACTAGGATTAGGCAAACCACTTTTGTAACTAGAAGTCCCGAAAACGTTACTAAAAGATAACAATTTTCTTTCTTTCTTTCTTTCTTTTTTTTTTTAATCCAAGCAGCAAAGGTGAGTACCTTTCACAATGAACCTTTGCAAAATTACCAAACTTTCAATTTGGGGGCCTAGGAAAGCACATTAGTGATACTGCTTTATCTTATAATCTGAGGGTTTGTTTGGTTTGGACTGAAAGAAAACTGGAAAAAGCTGAGTTGGATTTTAAACAGCAAATTAGGCAATTGGGAGAACAACGTAAACAGAACATGTTCAATAACATGTGCCTGGAATTGTAATTAGTTCATTCTAGTTATCTAAAATCAATGAGTAAACTAAGAGAAGTCAGTAAGAGTTTTACCACTGACTTCACTGGAGCCAGAGCATATACGATGCAAATGGCATTCAAAGAAAATATTAGAATGAGCAGGAGAGAATGAGCAACACCAATAAGACCTACTCTGTGTCTGTAACCCTAAAGCAGCTAGTCACCCAGGATGCCAACAGTGCCTTCTGCTTACTATGCCTTCAATTCTTCACCCAAAAGTCAGTATCTTGTATTAGTTCCCCCTGTACCATTCATTCTCACTTCAGTGACACCATTTTCTGCTTACGCCAAACGCTTATTGAAAACAATGCAATTCAAAGCTATTCATAAAATGAACTGCAAAGTGTCTTGTAAAGCCCAGCACCTTTATAGCTTTAACTTCCTGCACACACAGTACCAAGTACTGCCCACTTCTTGCTGTTCTCTGAAGTGTCACTAGCTTCGGCCTTCAGAAGAAAGGGGGTAGAAGGAAACAAACTGAAAAACAGTTAGAATTATGAGGAAGCAGTAACAAAGAAGGAAGAGCTTGTAATATGTGGGTAACGACGATTAAGGACATTTACAATTACACTTTACATACAGTATGTGCAAAAAACACCCCCCCGAACCCACAAAAGTTTGCAGTCAGACTGCCATTTTAACAAGCTGATGGACAAAAGTTGTAGCAATGAATTTACTCACCCAAAACCAATTGCTACCCAGTAATTTCTGACACCCTGATGTGGTCCCACCATAGGAAGAATGTCTGGAGAATAGGTGATAGGACCCGCAACTGTGTTTATGATGTCTGCTTGTTTCAGAACAGGTACCATTTCCATAGCAGCCTCAACATGCTCCATTATTCTGTCTAAATCAGACTCAAAAAGTTCTTTTCCAAAACCTGCACAAATATTTGACTCATATTATATATTTGTTAATTGCACTGAAAATACTTATACTTTCAATACAGTTATGCAATCTCTATGTATCATAGTTATATGGAATTCATCAGTATGTTCCAGCCTTTCTCATCCTAAATGAGAAAAACAGTGTGCATAAACTCCTAGCTACCTGCAGGCTCAAGTTTACTGTCACTGCATTTACACTGTCTTTTATATGTATTTGTTTAACCGTAAGGTCACACAAATTCAACACTGAAGTAGGAAGGATGGCGAAACACAGAACTTCCTTTTGCGTTAATAAAAACTGCTTATTTTTCTCAATATGTCAACAATCTGAGGAGGAAGGAAAGATATTGCCTGTGTCAGCTTCTGATTTTCTTGGTGTTTCGTGAATTCCTGGATATATTTCAACCTTCAGTCTGGACTCTGAGCATTATTGAACATCGTTTTGTAGCAGGACTTGACAGTAGTGGAGACACTAGGCTGAGGAAGCTATGACAGAGAATTCCAAAGCCCAGCAAGGCTAACTGTTAATTGTTCTATGCTAGGAAAAAATTATTTTTTAAATCAGCAAGACCACTGACTTAAGATCACTTTCTGTCCAGAAGTGAACAGACAGCTGGGACCTAGATACAACACAGTAAATTTTTATAAATAGCAATAAGATGCTTGGGGTTGGTGTTTTTTGGGGAAAAAAAACTACAAATCTACAACTCTTGCACTTATTTTTGAGCACAGCATTTCATCTAAGACACTCCTTTGCTGAACCTGTGTTCCTATTTGACAACTACATTATCTCTGGGGGAACAGCCAAAAATCCAAAGCCCCTGCCGGTATGCTGGATAGAACTATAGCTTTGAACAATCCCTATTCAGGTGAAAAAGGCTACAAACCACAGATTTAATAACTGCATCTAATCACAACACACAGACACCTGTTCAGAGAGCAGGGCTAGACAATATTTTAGATGTATATTTTGGGCCTATCTCAACTAATCTTTTTGTGTTGCCATGTTACTTCTATTTACTCTTAATTAGAGGTTACAAACATTCTTTGAAAAAAAAGTTCCTACGCTACAATTGCGCATCGCAAATATTTTCCATTTTCCATCACGTAAGGCAGTGTGACAGGGTGGGATATATACATATTAAATGGCACGCTAGTGCTTATCAGTTTAAAGAAAAAAGTGTTTTAATTACCAGGTGGGACTCCATTTGTTACCCATGAGTCCTGTAGCTTCATCTTCTCCTGTCTTTCATACGGACCAAATAAAAGTCCATCCCTTTCTTGCCTTAGATAATATGATCCTTCTAAGTCACGAATCACAGGCAATTCTCTTTTCAGGGCTTTCACTTCAGGGATACTTGATGTCACAATATACTGGTGATGAACTGGTATGAGCGGGTGCTGCAGACCAATCATCTTGCCTATTTCACGGGCCCAGAAGCCTTCAGAAGACAACAAAGTATGAACATTCAAAACACTTATTTCAATGAACAGAAAATAACAGTAAAAAATTTTCAGGAACCACTCTACTTTACTGAAGGTGAGAAAGATATCATTTTTTCCATACTTTCAATTTTCAATTGATCTTTCCTACTATTCAGCATAATTTTTCTATACCCTCCATAATTTCACCTCCTTGCTCCCAATTATACCACCATACATTATTCTAGTATGCAGGTGTTCAAAAATAAAGCTGAAAAAATATAAATTAAGCTTCCACAAAATTCACAAGGGAATTTAATTAACAGTCCCACAAACTCCATGGTTTATTTCCGTAGACTACGTCTGCACTGCAGTTCTAACACAAAGTCAGATACACTGAAAAGCAGAATAAATTATCTCATATCATACGTCTTAACTTAGTCTCTTGAAACCAATCAATGAAACCAGCTAGCACACTTACCCAAGAAGGCACACAAGTTCTAACACTCCAACAGAGCACGGCAGTACTTTTAGCCAGCTAACCTCAAGAATTTAAGTCTCTCTCCTCTTTCTCATACATCACATGACTCGTATTAAGTTTCTCATGTAATAATCATTTCATTACGATGTTCCTATTGGTGAGCAGTCAGCATGCTCTCCCACAGGTGTCCAGCTAAAAGTTCTGATACAAACTGCGATCAGAGAAAGTGAGCAGCAACTTCCCTGGTCCTGAGGCACACTCGGGGCCCTTCATGTAAACTACTAGGCATAATTTAAAGGCCTAAGTCTTCTCTGTTAAGGTCCCTCAAGACTAGCTGTTTCTAGCTGCCAAGGTGCATCCACGTAGAGATGTACCTGTGTCAAAGCTAACTGTGCCAGTTAGTTCTGCCAGGCATATTCACTTCGGCTCTGCATCATGGCGCTAAGAAGCTTGGAACATCCCTCACCTCACTCTCCTAACTCTTTGGATCTAGGAATGGAGGTCCAGAAAATAGGAATGGAGGGGGAAAATCCAATGAAGCAGCAGTCCCAGGACAGTCTGTGGGGTTGAGAATCAGTGTTGGGGGAAGGCAAAAATGGAAGAACAAGAAGAGGTAGTAGGGCCTTTCAAGTAAAAGGCTATGTGCTGATGATCAGCCAGTAGAAGGAGGCAGTTCAGCCTGGTTCCTGTGTAATCAGATAATCCCAAACTCTTTATGAAAAACCGTCTCCAATAAGACTTGCTACCTTACACAGCTGCCCCTACACCTAGAACTTATGTTCACGATGCTTGGCTTAACATGCAATTTTTTTTTTTCCTTTTTACTGCTTACTTAGCTTCATATTTAGATGTTCCCACCTCCATCTCCACTTCCACACTCTCCAATAAATGGTCAAAATTTAACTCTCAGGGCCCTGAGGGTACTAACAAGGCTTAATAGCCCTGACAAGTCTCACCCGCAGCCTCTCTGCACACTCCTGCCATGGGCCTAGGAGCCCATTTCAGCTCAGTTGCAGGCGTTCAGTTCCTGCCTGAGCTACGTTGCATGCGTGCCTATCTGCAGCTCAAGTTGTGTCACAGCCACGCCCACGCCTGGCCATGGACCTCGTTGATCCAGACACTGACCTGCAGGCTGGGTTCCTGGCTTGGCCTCAGCCCTGCCTTATTACTACAGACCTGCCTGGTGATCACTGGGCTGGGTCTGACCTTGGTTACCCTTACTGGGCCTGATCCTGACCTGCGCACTGACTTCCTCGTTTGACCTTAGACCTTCCTCATCACTACAAGCTTGTCTGGTGATCTGGACTCTGAGCTGACCCCAGCTGCCACCTCCATCCTGCCCCGACTGCCTCGCTGGAGTACTGTAGGACAGGGCCTGGCTGGCAAGGCCCCTGCCAGGCCGACCTTGTTCCTATGCTTGGCTCCCAGTCCCTCGGGGAGCAGCCGGCCCTCATTGCTCACTGACATCAGCTTGGGAATACATCCTTTCAGCTTTGGTGTGGCCTAAAGCCAGCGCAGTTTGAAAAGTTGAGTTGGGCTGTGCTGGCCTTGTGCCATTTCCCCACGCAAGGAGAGCTGTCCATCTCTGTTATTACAAACCAGCCTCAGGGTTTAACACCCACAGTTTCAAATAAAACAAAGTTTCTGAGGGAGAAGTCTTCCATGGTGATTCACTTGACAATTGCTGACAATCATGTTATGCAGGGGAGAAGGAAATGCAACAGCATGATAGAGAGATTTGGTCAGTTAAAAGCCTCTGCCCACTAAATAGTAAAAAAGAGTATCAGTTGTTCTGGATTTATCATATATAAGACTTTTGCTTCTTAACTCCATCCTCACAACCTGGACTCTGTTAGAGTCACTAACAGAACAGTTGTTAAGTTGGTCGAATTAGCTCAAGGAAATCATGCCACAGTCGTGTCCTTTAAGGCTACTGAAATCTGATTTTATGCTCCTTTATACAGAGAATAACCAAAAAATTCTAATGAAGTTGAATTTCTAGCACATCTGTGAAGGCTTGCTCCATTACTCATGACAAATACAGGTGTGGATTTGACGGGAGACTAAAGGTGCCTAGAGTTAGACTGATAGCCAAAAAAAGGAATGTATTCACTCTTACTTGCCAGCCAGCCATGCACAGTGCCCATTTTTACCAAGCCCAGGCCAAGGACTAGACAGCTACAACTATTGCTTATACGTATTGTAGTAATGCAAGAGTGCTTTAGACCTCTCAGCATCGTTAGGAGAAATTCTTTAACAAACATACGTGAGCAGTCCTCCTACAAAATCAGTAGACAATCTGCTTCTCAATACTTTTCTCACTGTTTGGAGAAACTCAGTAAAACTCACACAACTGTTTCCAGGACAAAGAATATTTACACAAAGTAGTAATCGCTTCCTTTGATTAAAAAAAAAAAATTGGGAGCTAATTTTTCATGAAATCTTTGTGTAGGAAAAGTACATAAGATTCCTTTACAAATCTTTCAGATCTGTAAATATGTTGAAAACACATAAGGCTCTAATTTTTGCAATTATGTGGGAAAAAATGATGTGGGAACGTTATAGATGTGTGAAGATGACAGTATACATATATGATAGAATAAAATGACATGTCAGGAAACCAATTTTAGGGAATTTCTTTTCATTTGGACATTTCCATAAGATGTACAAAGACTATTTTAAAGTATGGTCAGCTAATGATCCATACAGGAAAAGGGCAGGGTGAAATATCAGAACATTCCACCTTTAGTATTACATCCTTTTTTTGGCCAAATTTTCTTGGACTTCAAGAGAGATTTTGAAAAGAAATGATGCTCCAAGAATGTGTTCCTAATAAATTCTAATAAATCTATTATTTTGCTTACCCATTAAAACAGTACCAGTGGGAAAAGGTATACAGCAAGCATATTCAAAGAAAATAAAAGTAGTAGACTAAATTTTAGGTCTTTGAAACTTAATTTTGTTTCTTTCAAAATAATTTTAAGTTTTTTCAACAATTAAGTTTCCAGAAGCATATTACAATCAGAGTTGTCTGAATATGACCTTCAAATGCTGTTGAACTACTGTTGAAGCCTTTAGGTATGCTCAATACTAAAGCTTAAATATTGTACTTCCAACCAAAAAAAAAGTTCACACTCAAGCTAATTGCTTATTTAATCATCAAGAATAACAACAGCTGGGATTTACTAAATGAAATATATTACAGTTTCCCTGTCTAATGTATTTGAACCATGTGCAAAAGCCGTTACAAACACAAAAATGACAAAGGGAAGAATATGTTCACTGAAATAAAACTAATTGGAAGCAGATGTCAAGTTCTATCACACATAGTAGAGATAAATGAAGGCATAAATTATATCTCTAGGACATTTGTAAAGATTATATAGTGGAGATTGCAAATGTTTGACACTGAAATATTTACTGGTGGTATTATTTAGCATATCTGTCAAGTATGCATTCCAACTCTTGTTTAAAAAAAAAACTAAAAAAAAAAAATACTTCCATCACTACATACATATAAAATAGTTGTGAGATCGAGTGTGTGCATGCATGCACATGTGTGTTTATATACACATGCATACATACTGTATATATAAATTAAATTCAACATGTTGGCAGATTTTAATCAATCATGCTACTATAAATAGGATGCAAGTCACTTTAGCAGGCTCAGTACAAGTTAGTTCATGTCAGGGATTATTTATTAGGGTTATGCTTTCCTCAAAAATGGAAATCTCACGTAAGGAACAGCTAAAAATTGGCTGAAACTAGTTTGTTCCAGTTCCACAGCAGATGTCATCTGGGGTGGGGGGGAAGAAAGAATGTAGAAAGCCCTCTGATGTATTCTTCTGTGCTCAGACTGCAACATGAGCCTAAAATGTGAGTTCTGAATTATATCAGTCATGATCTGTAGAGGAACAAGGCAAGGCTGAGAAGAATGAATGCTAGCTGACAGAATATTTACAAAATATATGGGTTATATAGTATTGATTTCACATCATTAGCCAGAATGTTAAGCAATATATACTTCAAATGCTCGTTTTGGCTGAACAGTTAGCTACACAAGATAATTAACTAAATATGTCTTCAGTTTCGTAAGTTATTCAATCAAAAAAAGACTATGAAAATTGCACAAGGGTGCATTCTGGTTTTAGAAATAAGCTTTGAAAGGCAGTTATTAGAAAACTCTGCCTAACGTCAACTTGATACATAACAAAAAGAGAGACGACTACACTACAAAAATATAAGGAAAAACTACATTTATGATACTTTATCAATATGTTCCAGAGCCAAGAGTTCAGAACAATGAGCGCCTAGAAGTTCAGGGCCTAAATAAGAGGTCTGATTGCCAAAACAGCTGCTTTTCCATTCTCTAATCCCAGATCATTCCTAGACTGATTGACTATTGACATCATGACAGGGTAATTGGCAAGCTTAGAACCTCGAGGTGAACTTTACAGATCCCTGCCGTTTTAGCTAAGCTGATGGCAATAGCAAGTCATCACCTATGGGTGATATATGATCAGAAGAGAAAGCACACTTTGGCAGTTGGTTTCACATTCGGTCTGAAAGCCAGGAGTGATCTAACAAGGCTCTCTGCATGCATTCCAGACACCGAAAGGAAGGTCACCTAGTAAGCACGAGTTCTTCTGCCCATCCTCTTGAGTTCAATCCTCCATCTCATTCCCTCCAGACTTCTCTCTATCCCAGTCTTCTCTTTCCCATCCCTGCTTGTCCCATACTTGCTCTTCTTTCCTCCCAGTCCCAAACTCTACTATTCTTACCTTCTTACCCCAGTCCTCACATCCTTTTTTAGCTAGTTTCTCTCGCTCTATGTGCAAATCAGTTTCCCTCCTTTGTCACACCCTGTCTCACCTGGCTTCTCTTCCTTTCGATCTACTCACATCTACCTTCCCCTCCACCAGCCTTTACATACTCTCACATAGTCTCAATTTTACAGCCTCAGTTTTGCCTGGAACCAATCCTCAGTATCTTTCCTAATCTTTCAGCCTAAAAAGCTTCAGTTCCCTTAATGAATCATGTCAGATTCCTTTCTGCTCTCCTCCTCCTTGGTGTCATTCCCTCTACAGTACCCCCTAGTTTGAGCTTCCTTATCCAGCAAGTCCTCTCACTCACAGGTTTCTACTTGCTGTCAGTGCTCCAACCATCCCCAGGTACCTTTCCCAAGCAGTTCTCTCCTCCAGGTCTTTTCCCCTTCTAGTCCAACTCACTCATAGTTCCAAATACCAGCCATAGCTATTCTACCCACCAACCATTAAGCAGCATAAAAAGAAATGAAGCTTAGTTTGCATATAGGTTTTTAGATCAACCGATTTGTTTAGGAAAACAGAAACAAATCTGAAGGACTCTTGCCCAAAAGCTCTTTGAAAGAGAAGCATCAATTTGGCCTCTTTAACACAATGAAGAATATAAAAATTGCATACGTAAATAGAAGCTCCTTTGAGTAAGGAAACTTTTATTACATGGAAAAATGTATTGTTAAGCCTAGAACATGTTTAAAATACTAATCAAAGGGCAGTAAAAATCTTCTGTTTCAAGGATATGTGGATAGATTCAAATCTTAGAGAAAGATAATACTGAAATAGGCAGTGTTATCTTACTGGCTGCAAATCCTCAGTCTCTGAAAAAACAGTGAAGCCGCTTCTATTTCATTTGTATATCCCTTTTCCCTTCTTAAGTAGCACTTACAAGAGGTCCTGTAATTTTAGAGGACAAGATGCATAGGCAGTAACCTGTCTCTTCTGCACAGTTTACTGTTGACTAGCAAAGGTCTCATCTGTTTCTAAAACTTCATGAGATAATCTGGCTGTTAATTGTTTGTTGGAAATTAACCAGAAATATTATTAATGTCTAGTAAAGGACAATTAACTTAAATGCTAATTTTTCATGATATTGCTAAAGTGATATATGCAGACTGCATTTTACCACAAACCAGATGAATATTCAAAAACATGTATTACCTATTTCTATAATCCAGACAATTCAGTATAGATGCTCAGTATAAACTAGTTTGCAAATCTCCAGAGTATGCAAGCACTTATGTTAAAACCTACCTGCAGCGTTAACAACTCTTTTTGTTTGAATTACTCCAAGTGGAGTTTCAACTTCCCATGTCCCATCTGATCGGCAGTTCAGATTAGTCACTTGGACTGGGTAATTTAACTGAGCACCGTATTTTCTGGCTCCTGCAGCCAAGGCCATAGTAAGAGAGTAGGGATCAATATGACCATCTCCAGGGTTATACAGGCCAGCTAAAACCTAAGTGGAAGTAAAATCACATAAAAAGAAATAAAATACAATTTGCTGAAGTCAACTAATTTTATTTTAAAATTGCTTTATTTCCGGAATTCAGTAAACCTTAAGGAGTTAAATCAAAACAAATTTTAAAACTATATAATGTTATTAAAGAGAAAGCTAGCCAACTTAACAGAGCTTCTAAGGAAGTAAAATTCCTGAGTTTTCCCATGCAAGCCAAGGTGCCAGCGCTTCAATATTATGGCATAGAATATGCACTAAAATGCATGCAAGTCTGATTTTAGTTTTTAATATATCCTTTTTTTTCCACTGCAAAACAAGAATCTTTTATACAAATTGTACGAAAGAAACAGGCCCTAGATCTACGTATCTGGTAGACCAATATTTAATTGCAATAGACATTACTTTTCATAAAATTGGGTTCTTTACCGTATCCATGTTCAATAAGGGAAACAACTCTTGTACTTTCTCAGGAGTGATTAAGTATTGTTCTGTTGGGTGCCAACCAGCACGAGTCATTTGGTATTTGAATTCATCTACCCTAGTGGGGGTTGAAGCAATTCTGATGCTGCCAGGCTGATGAAACCCCACGACCTAAAACAAACAGCAAAAGTGAATTACTGCAAGGACCTTTACTTATCTCTGTAAATGCACGTTCCTATGCTATGGGAAGCACACAGGAATTTTGCCACTAACCTCACTGAAAAGAGCCTGAAATAAGTTAAGCATCCTTGAAGGAACAGGACTTAAATGCAGACTCACAGAGAAAAGGAAAAAAAAAATGTTACCATAATAACTTCCCAAATAAATACACACTATATTGAAAAAAGTTGTAAAAAGGCTCTATTGAATGTCACAATACTATTGTTTTTAATGAAGATTTGATCAATACTCAAAATTATGGCTCACAGATTTTCAAAAGTATATCAGAGGCATCTGAAAATAAATATATAATAGTTTATATTAAAAAGTTTGTCACCTGCATAATTTTCTATTGAAATATTGTAAAATAAATTTAATTGGTGAAGCATCTTTACTGCTACAATAAATAACCTCCCCTCCTTTTTTGTCTTTTTTGTAAAGTAGAAATGGTTACCTAGTTGGACACTGAATGCTCACTTTCTGGTGTATATAATTTAATTTATGCTTCTCTGTTACCTCACAGGACATTAATATGGTAGGTAAGACTTTTTGTGAGAACTCACAATGATAATCTGCTGAGTATCTTAGGTGAGCAGCAGAATTGTCATAAAATGCCTTTTGCCTTATTATCAAGTTAGCAGACTAGCAAGGTGAGGATCATGCAGTTTCTCCTGCAGCTTCTGCTGCAGCTTGAAGCAAGCCTATGTTTAGTGAATGGAATCTATTTGGCTGAATGATGACAGATAAAATAATGACTCCCATGTTTCTCTACATACTCACCCCTTAAGTCACTAAATAAAAGTACAGCTTTGAAAAGGGACAGGAAGAATTGGCAGCAATCTCCTCAAGTACAGACGGCATGATATCATATGTATTTTCAAGTAGATATGTTTAAAGCAGCAATGTGTAAAAATCAGTCTGTTCATTCCAGACCCTCACTGCTATTTTAACTCATACAGAAAGCTGCACACTCTCAGTTGGCTGAGCTTTTGAGATAGTTGATGAAAATCATTTTCTTAAAGATTAAAGGCATCCATTAACACTGCAAAAGTTAAAGCGATTACCTGTCCAGTCTCTTCTTCCAGCCTTTCATACAGTTTGATGCTGTAAGAATGGATTTTCTTCAGATTTATTCCAGGATGAAAGTAAGTAGTTAAACCAGCCTCAAATGAAAAATAGAAACAACATAAGGATATGATTAGAAATGCAGTGTTTTCTTTCCCTCCCTCCAGCTGTCATTCAAAAAGGAACTGTCAAGTTACTGTAAAGAAAAGTAACACATGGATGGAGCCAGCCGCTACAAAAATAAAAATAAAAACCTCTCCTTACTTATGGCATTCTTGTTCTCTGCACACATGTTTTTCCACCTGTCTCTTCTCATCAATTTTGTCAAGTCATGATACTGTGGCCGTTGTTCTGTCCTGTGATTTCCTTTCTCCCTTATATTACTCAGCTGTCCGCTCCAAATCTTTTGGAAGAGACATACAACTTTAGTTCCTGATCTCTAAAGGTCTCTAAAGGCACTCACCAGAAGTCCTATAGCAGGACCTTTTGCTTTTTGCAAATGGACATGGGAGAGAAATCAAACCTTCACAAAGATCAAATCTGAACAAAAGTTATTACTTTCCTGTGGTGTGAACAACAAGGCAGTGGAATACACTATTCTTCTAGCCCCAACAGTTGTCTCATGTTGCAGCAGTAAAAGAGCAACTGCTGTATTTCAGAAGTAGCTGCAGAAATTACTATATGTATTTTGCACCTCATTTTACTGGGTTTGACTTTGTATAGCTGTTGAGTCCTTTCAGGCTCATTTAAGTATTAAATCAAAAAGTTACTACAGCCGCTTTTACATTTAAGGAAATTATTCGCCTGTCTACACTAGAGACATCTGCATCAGCGTAATGACATTTGTAACTGTAGATCTTTAGCAAAAAGTGAAGTTTAAGTCTCACTGAATTTAAGGACATTCCCTTGTATTTCCTGGATTGGACATCTTGCTGAAACTCTTATTTCAAATTGAGACAACAGAACTGCAAAATTACAATGTGGTTTCAAGCTAAGCAATTGTATTGATTTAAGCATACCAGTACATATTTTGCTAACTAAAATAGAGCTTATTCATAGATGCAGTTTGCTTAAATTAAGAGCCTGACTTTACACATAAAGGCTCCATTTACTATAATAGGTATATTAGAATGAAAGCACAGTACAGGATTTTCAAAAACAGTTAAGGGAACTAGTGGACACCAGAGTCCCCTTTGAATTCACTATCATTTTGAGAAAAAATCAGCAGGGAAAGTAAAGATGGAAAGTAATACATGTAGTAGAGTTTTGATACTTTCCTTTAAGTTCCCTAGTAAACACATACACCAAACCACCCTTGATTTTTAGGTTGTCTACTCTGTTATATGCTACATGTTTTGAGCCTTTAACTTTCAAAGTTAGTGGAATAACCATATGCATGCAAATAACAAAAACAAGATCTAGTGCTGTGTAAAGATACATTTTAATTCACACTAATTCAATTATGCCACTAACCTATTGAACATTATACTGCAAAATTAACATCAACATATAGCACATAAATTATATCACGTTTTCTCATTTTTTGGCAGCATGGACCATTTTGACTCATCTTTCTTGGTACAACTCCACATTTAAGCCCCAATGTTATTCTTCAGAAACAAATTAGCTCCAAGTGGCTCTTAGCAAATGGCTTGCACTTTCCATGCCCCTCAGAAAACTTACTTCACAGGTGCTGTCAAAGATGACAGAAACTCAATACCTTTCGCAGAACTGTCTGTCACTACTGATTTAAGGTGCTTTTGCTAGTCGAGGTGCTAACTACTTTCAGGTGCTTGCAGTAGCTAGGTCCTTCCAGAATAGGGGAGTGAGTATTTACACATTCAGCTGCTAACAGCAGCTTGTTAACATCTCTACTCTGGACAAACTAAATTGTCGCTCTCAGTTAAAGACAGATAGCAACCTACTGGTTGGTACATTCAGAACCACTAATTTCAGCTGCTTCTTAAAATTGTTGCCATTCAATCTGAACAGCAGTGGATTAAATAGTAGTGCCTCTATGATTCCTGCTGGATTCTTGAGATACCCAAAGAGGTCACAACCAGGAATCTGAGAAGCACTAACTTGGATCAGTGTTGAGAGAGTATGATATTTTGTGTATGTCTTGTCCAGGACTTTAACTGCCTTTCATAGGAAAGGAATTTATGATTTTTTCTACCTTTTTCAAAAGCTTTACCTGACTTTCTTTGTGAGGGTTTTATCTTTCTGGTATCTTAAACTTAATACAAAATATCATAGTGTATCATATGGGTGAGATATCAAAAAAAAAAAAAAAAAGGAAAACTGTGTAAAGCTAATCATCTAGCAGTATTATATTTTTCAACTGTGACAATATTTTATTCACAAATTTGTCTCCAGTTCCTAAGTATACTCAGTATTGTTCATTACCTGAACAATCTGAGTTCAAGAAGGGACCAAACAAATCTGTAGGAGGACAAAAAATCCACTGAGGGCTATATTACACACAAAGCCAGCACCTTGGATTCATAAAGACCTTGAAATGCAAATTCCTGGGCTAAGTTAATACTCTGGAAAAATATTGCTATATACCTGTCCTGTTCTTATTATCATATCTTATCATCATCACACTGGACACTGCTAGAGATATTTGGGTAAAAGTGCTTTTGATATATACGTGGTTTTATGTTGTTGTGAACATTTTTAATTTCTTCAAACTAAAACCCAGGGCTGTTTCACTGCAGATTTCATAATTAAGACTTGCTTGCTTTTGTTTAAAGTAAGTCCTAAAGGTCTTTTTTGCTGTATACACTGAATAAAGAAATAAATTATGCATTCACTACTAAACTGTTCACACTTCTTTAGCCATTTTCAAAAACCTATGGGTAATTCATTTACATGTAACAGAAGATTGTGTCAGCTCATCTCATATTATTTCTACTGTCTTCTTTGATTGATATAAGCATTTTCTGGTTGGTGTTTTGTTAGTTTTTCGAATGTAGTAAGTGTTTCCAATGCAATGAAATTCCATTTTAGTGGTCACTGTCAGGTAAAGCAGTTCTGAACCAAATGAACCACAAATTACTTGCAAGTTAGCTACAAAATAATACAAATTCAATGGCATTTAATTACCAGAATTAAACCAGAAATTCTCTCTCTGACATTTTTAAGTGAAAAAAATAATTTCAAACATATATGATGCCTTTTGTCTTTGATAAAGAATGTTCCAAGAGTGCAGTCAGGAGACAACTATAACTGGACAGAATTATGTCAAAATTAAGATTACAGATTCATAGAATAATTCAGGTTGGAAGGAACCACAGGAGGTCTCTGACCAATCTCCTGCTCAAAGCAGGATCAGCTATGCAATCAATTTGCCCAGGATTTCTCCAGTCTGGTCTTGAAAATCTTGAAGAATGGAGACTACACTACCTCCCTGCCCAACTACAGGACTTTGCATTTGTCCTCGTTGAATTCTTTAAGGTTCCTCTCTGCCCACCCCTCCAGCCTGTCTAGGTCCCTCAGCCCTGCCCTTGTGTGGGTTGACTGGTTCCCTGAATTTGGTGTCATCTGCAAACTTGATGAGTGTTCACTCTGTCACCTTGTCCAGATCACTGATAAAGATATTAAACAGTATGGGTCCCAGGACGGATCCCTGCAATACCCCACTTGTTAGCAGCCTCCAAGTGGCCCATTAACCACTACCCTCTGAGGCAAAACATCCAGTTTTTTAACTATCTAGTTGTCCTGCTCATCCAGACCAAAATGTTTTAATATGGATACATGAATATTATGGGAGGCAGTGTCTAAGACCTTGCTAAAATTGAGGTAAATGACCTCTGTTGCTCTCCCTTTGTCCAAAAATCCAGTCATTTTATCATAAAGGCAACCAGGTTCATCAAACATGATTTACTCTTGGCAAATCTATGTTGACTGTTCCCAAATACCGGCTCGTCCTTTGCGTGCCCAGAAATGTGATCCAGGATTCACTCCGTGATTTTCTCAGGAATAAAAGTAAGGCTAAGTGTCCTGTAGTTTCCCTGATTGTCCTTTTAGCTTTTTTTTTTTTTTTTTAAGAGGGCTATAACATTTGCCTTTCTCTAGTTGTTGGGTACCTCCCTCAATCTCTACAGCTGACAGAGAATTGCCTTGCAATGCCATCAGCACGTTTGATGCAGCCCATGTGGTTCAACATACTTGTATTGGTTTAGTTTTCTCAAGTAATCCCTTACTAGATCCACATCCATTACTGGTAGATGTACTCTTCCTTGAATCCTGCCTCTCAGCACAGAGGCTGGGAGACCTTGCCAGTGAGGGCAGGTAAAGGAGGCACTGAACCTCAACCTTATCTGTGTGTACTGTCACTAAATCACCCACCTCTTTCAGTAATGGTCCCACATTTTCCTTGTTCAGCCTTTTACTACTAAAGTAACTTTAGAAGCTCTTCCTGTCACCCTTGATGTTCCTTGCAAGTCTTAGCTCTAGTTGAGCTTTAGCTCTCCTAACATTCCCTTTAGATGCCCAGGCGATTTTTCTAAATTCCTCCTTTCCCTGCTTCCACCTCTCATATACTACCTTTTAGCACTGGATCTCAGTCATGAGTTCCCTGTTTAGCCAAACACTGTTTGGCCTCCTGGTATGTCTGCTTGTTTTCTTGAGTTTCAGGATGGACCTTTCTCCTACGTGGAGACCTGCTCCCAGCTTTGCTCTTTTTTTGTAAGACAGATTTTGTTGGTGTTTGTGAACATGATCTGAAAAGATAATTTTCTTCAGAGTGATCACTATACTACAAAATATGGAGATTTTAAAGCATTTTTGTAGGTTGAAATGTTTATATGTTGAAATTTTCATGAATCAGTTTTCTGTTCTAATCAGTTTCAGATTTTATACTAACTCTATTATTAAATTAGAATTCTGAAGGGAATTGGCAGTAGCACAGCTATCAGCTATATCCTCTGTCCTTGCAAGTTTGACCAAGTCTTAACAAGTTTTTATTTGTCTTGTACTGTGATTTATTAACTATCAGCAGCAAAATCAATTGAGTGTTGCAAGGAAAAGCATTACATAACAGAAAGATACATGGTAAACATTTTCTTAGAAAACACCTTTTCAAAGAATTACTACGGCAAAACCTATCTGCTGAGTTATATATGGCCTGTTCAGTCCTCCAGGCTTCAGTAAGATTGCAAATGATCTGACCTGCAGTAGACAACAACTTCAGGAGGTCTTAAAGCCTGAGTTCTGACCTAATTTATACACATATAATAACCACTACTTTGTCATGGTTAGACAGTATAAATATGAGCAGCACTTGCTCTGTTATTTATGTTGTCTCATTATTGCTAGTATAAAAATGTGCACACTTTCAGTGCTATTTTCATTTAAACAAAATGAAAGTCAGCCAGATCTATGTCATA